GATATTCACCACAACCACACGAGATTGACTTCAGTGTCTTTGTCCTGTAGACTGCAAAATTAGGCTCAGAGAGGTTAGGTCACTTGCCCAAGATCACACAGTGATACAAGAGGGTGCCAGGGATGAGGGCACCCTTAAGAAGCCTCAAGGCCTTGTCCAGCTTATCACACGGCTGCTCCCAACCTTGACTCTCTTAACACTCTTTGATCTTGTGACACACACAGACACACGGTCCTGTGACTGTTCTAACCATCTCTCGAATCGGGTCCCCTCTCTCCATGGCCGGGGCTGCCACAGTCTGAGACTGCATCACTCTTCACTAGGATTGGCCCCTGGCTGGGACTTCCATCTCTGGCTTTGACCCCCCAGCATCCTTCCACTCGGCTGCTGGAGTGTCCTAAGATGACCTGGTGAGATCTCCTCCCTGAGATGCTCTACGTGGCTCCATGTCATCCCGGCTTCAGCATCAGCCAGGATGCTGATTCTCTCTCTCCCAGTGGCCCTCAGCTCAGACGGAGCACAGGGACTGTCCCTGGGCCACCGGGCGCTGACCTCTGTGCCGTTGGTAGTGTCACAGTGGGCCATGTTCTGAAGGCGAAGTTGCCATCCTGTGGCCACACGGCAGGCTTGGTGGTGACTGAACATGAACCCCTGAGGGGACCCCAGCCCGATTCTTTTCTCTCTTTGGCTTTCAAGCCCCAAGATGAGTGACTCCGATCTTCCACGTGCTCCCAACCATGACGTACTATGCTGCCATAGTTCTGAAAGCAACAGAGTTGTTTTCTCCAAAACCATGTTTGCACCCCCCCTCTCTCCCCCCCGCCTCTCTTTCCCTCCCTCCCATGTTCTCTTCATAAGCTGGCTCTCTCAGGTATTTGATACAGCAATGGAAAGTGGACTTGACCACCCCATTTGCGTCCCTGCCCCACAAGCTCCTGGAGAGTACGGTCTGGGTTTTATTTATCCTCTGTGCTCAGAGGCCTGGCTACGGCTTGACATGCAGAAGATATTCAGAACTGTTTGGGAGCCCTTTTGACCTTACCCCCTGGCTCTCTGAAACTCTACCCTTTGGTCCCATCATCTCTAATCCCCTAGATGCTTAGCCGTAGTCCAGCCCTCCAACCCTCCCTGGACTTGACATTGCCTTCCTGCTCCCTGTTACTGTTCCCCTCCTCCTCCTCCTCCTCCTCCTCTTCCTCCTCCTCCTCCTTCTCTTCCTTCTCTTCCTCCTTCTCCTCATCTTCTTGTTTTCTTGAGACCGGGTCTCACTGTGTAGCCTTGGCCGGCCTGGAACAACTCACTCTGGAGGTCAGGTTGATCTGCCTTTTCCTCCTGTGTGCTGGATTTACAGGCCTGTGCCCGACACCTACCCCATTCTTTTTCACTCACGGAGCAGGAACAGGGTGTAACCTCTGCCCCAACCCCAGGCGTCTGACGGCAGCCACTCTCTGCAGGCCGCCAGCTTGGAGCAGCCACAGTTTTATAAAGCGCCCATGCCCAGAAAAACTCTATATGCCCTGGTAGAGAAAAGAGGCAAAGAGTGGGGAGGCCCCCCTGTGGGAAGTCAATCACCGGTAGGTCACTCTCATGCCTAGGCCCTGTGTGGTTCTTCTTCTATCTCCAGCTGTGGTTGTGACCCACGTCTTTTAGAAAACTGTCCTGTTCCCAACATTGCAGTCTCCTCAGTCAACAGTTTGATTCAAAGCACTCTTCTCAAGGGCACCAGATGGTGGAAGCCATAGGACACAGACCTGTGACTGAGGACATAGGCCTCCTTCACCCAGTCCCCTCAGAGCACAGGAAATAAGGCTAGAGGGGCCCCCTACACGAGAGCACTGTCCTTCAAGCCACCCCAGCTTTTTGTTGTTGTGCGTGCTTTTAAAAACAGTTATTATTTTTAGCTCATGTGTATGTGTGTTTTACCTGCGTCTATGTGTGTGAGAACATATGTTCTCGATGCTATGGAGACCAGAAGAAGGTGTCGGATACCCCAGAATAGGAGCTACAGACAGATGTGAGCTCTCATATAGGGACTGGGAACCGAACCTGGCTCCTCTGCAGGAGGACCCAGTGCTCTCAACTGTTGAACCATCTCTCCAGCACCCACCACCAGCTGGGGGGGGGGGCGGGGGAGGTGGTTCTTTTGACCCCTGAAGTTAGATGGTGTGGATAGAATCATCCTCGACCTGGTTCTAATCCTGACTCCCTACGCATACCCTGCAGGACTTGGGGCCTCTTCAGTCTCCTTTCTGAGCCTCAGTTTCCTCCTGTGTAAAATGAGAACCAATCAGCATTGCTGTCCGCAAACGTCTTAGACGGACGGCTCAGTTGGCCAAAAGGACAGCGCTCGCTCCTCTTCACAGTGGAAGTGGAATGCTGTGCCGAGGGAGTTCTTCCTCCAGGCCATGGAGAGGCAGAGCTGGGGACGGGAAGGGGGTTCAGAGAGCCATTAGCCTATACCTGACCATCTTACA